AATGTTCTCTATTAATAGTAGCTGTTGCATAGCTACTATTGTAGCAGGAATGATGTCAGTGGCAGTAAGCAGATCACTGCTTATTTTAAAGGTGTGCCTGACTAGTGCACAATGAGAGAAAGTTGTCTGCACTCCTAAATTGAAGCAGGAACTCTTCAATCAGCAGCAATCTGCCACTGTCAGCAATATAATTCCTATTATACTAGAGTAGCTATGCAACAGAATACTAGGTGATATAGCCTTGATACCATTTAAACAATACCAGTGATGTGAGGCATCCAATATAGAGTGTAATGGTTGGATTTGGAACAGGGAGATGGAAGTTCCCTGGTGTATATGTAAATAAATAATGACACATTAGGCTTTTAGTAATATCATTCTGGGATGGTTCTTACATTTTACTATTATTTTTTAACCACAGCCAAAAACAAAAAAACCCACTTCCCACAGATCCATGGCAACACCACAGGAATCCTCCAGAATGACTGCCTATCACCTGATTGGCAGGAAAATATTTCTTTATCCAATATGTTGTTACTCTGTGGAACTCCTTGCCCCAGGATGTGGTGATGGCATCTGGCCTAGATGCCTTTAAAAGGGGATTGGACAGATTCCTGGAGGAAAAGTCCATCACAGGTTACAAGCCATGATGGGAATGTATAATCTCCAAGCTTAACATGAAGGTAACAAGAAATGCCAGATGCAGGGGAGGGGCATCGGGAGACAGGGATCTAGTTGTCTCATGTGATCCCAGAGGCATCTGGTGGGGCCACTGTGAGATACAAGGAGCAGAACAAGATGGGCCCTTGGCCTGATCCAGCAGCGCTCTTCTTATGTTATATTCTTAAAAACTGCTGGGGAAGTGAGGACAAGCTGCAGAAATCATAAGAAAATAACCCCTGTGATTACCACCAGACATTCAGACTGAATATTTTATTCTACTTAGAACACATACATACTTGAAAGGGAATTCTGTTAGAAACTGCCATTTTTGCACATTCATTTGTTCACATGAATGAGACTAGTCAAGAGTAAATGCTCTAGAACAGTGGTCCCCAACCTTGGGCCTCCAGATGTTCTTGGACTACAACTCCCAGAAGCCTTCACCACCACCTCTGCTGGCCAGGATTTCTGGGAATTGAAGTCCAAGAACAACTGGAGGCCCAAAGTTGGGGACCCCTGCTCTAGAACAGCGATGACGAACCTATGGCATGCATGCCACAGCTGGCACTCAAAGCCCTCTCTGTGGGCACATGAGCCATAAGTTGCTAGATTGCTACCTTTGGCAGCCAAACCTGAGGAGGCAGCTGTGGTGCTAGCACCCCAAAAGGCGGCAGGCCAGGATCTGGAGCAGCTGGTGCTGTCGGCAGTGGGCAGGCTGAGCTATAGGCAATGGTGTGGTTGGGCACAACTGGAGGGGGATCCGGAGTTGAGTCTGGAGGTACCTTTGTGCCCGGGATTCCCCTTTCCGCTGCCACTTCCGCTTCCATCACCCCCATTTCTGCTGCCGCCTGCTGGGTTGGTGTTTTTTTTTTCCCATTTTGGGCACTCGGGTTCAAAAAGGTCCGCCATCACTGCTCTAGAAGATGCATCTTTCTGCAACCAACTTTTAACCAATTAATGTGCATCCTGACCTCTTCATGTTTCAACACTGGCAGGAAGAAGCTCCTGCATCTAAACAAACATAAGGTGCTTCCTTCTCATCCATGCATTTATTGAATATATGAACCAAGACGTAAAGGAGTCTCAGAACTCCATATTCTAATGACCAAGTGACTCTCTCAACTCAACACTAAATTGTATATTTCTATACAGTGGTGCCTTGCTTGATGACGATAATCTGTTCCGTTGAAATCCCTGTTAAGTGAAATTGTCATCAAGCGAATTTTAAAAACCCATGGAAATGTATTGAAAACCATTCAATGTGTTCCAATGGGCTAAATACCTGCTTGTTTTGCGAAGATCCTCCATAGGGCGGCCATTTTCCGGTGCATGTAAAGCGAGGAATCCGTCCTAAAGCACAGTGGGGAGCTATTTTGCACAGCGGATGGCCATTTTAGAGCCGCCGATCAGCTGTTTTAGAATCATCGTCTAGCGAAAAATCGGTTCCCGAAGCAGGGAACCGATCATCGTCACACGAATTTTCCCTATCTAAACATCGTTTTGCGATCGCAATAGCCTCATCGTAAAGCGGATTTGTCGTTTAACGAGGTAATCATTAAGTGAGGCACCACTGTATGCAGATATTTAGAAAAATTAGCCAAGTTAACATGATGCCCCTTAGCTTCCCTAAACAAGTGACAATTCTCTAGATATGTGACCTTGCTTCTGTTCTCCAGTTCCAAAGCCGTATGAAATTTGCTGAGTAACTCCCAGAAAAATGACACTGTTAGCTATAATTCATTTTTGTTCACCAAAACCAATCAGAATGAATTGTTACAGAAAAGTCTTTTCCAACAGTCTTTGTAAACATTCCAGAGCATGCTTTAGATAACGATACAGTACTCTGAAATTTGCATTGTCAGTACTGTGACCTGAGAGCAACTAGTTTTCCAACTCCAACCACTTACATTTATTTTCTGTGGCTTGGGGTGTACTCATGCTGTCTGAGAAACTTGTTTCATTTTTTCTCAGTCTTTCATTCCCGCATAAGGCTTATTTTTACATTTGAAAGCAATCTGTAACAGAAGCAGAACCACAAGTCGGCTACTATAGAGTACACTAAACACCTACTCTAAATTTAGTTTCAGTTGCAAATGTTCTGCTTAAAATTAGCATATGAAGAAAGTTATGTTCTTATTGACCACAGAATATCTAATATACTAGTTTTAAGCAACTTCCTAATCAGAACATTTTTTTTCAGTCTCTCAATTTATTGACTCGATTTTGTTCTATTCCCCTCATTTAATTTGTCAAAGTTTTAAAACAGCCTAGTTTTGTTTTTTTAGGAACATTCGGGTTCTTAATTCTATGTTCATAATTGGTTCAATAACTATGATGAAATTTTACCAAGAACTGGATTACTCAGAATTGATTTCCACCTTCAACTGTGGGCATTTACATCAGTTCTGCAACTGTCATTAAGTCCCCACTCACCAATGCTAAGAAGCTGTGAGTAACTTAAGATTTAGCATGGAACTGACTGTTGTGAGCATCAAGAACCCTAAACTCTTCTGTTGCCAGCCATCTGTCTGCTCAAATCATGCTGCTTTCCTGCCTCCAGGAGAAAGGGTACTTCAAAGTTCTATTCATTCCATGTGGAGAAGAGCAGTTGGCAGAGGAATCTGGAGCATATAAATAGGTTGGAAGGAAACACTGAAAAGTGCCAGACTTCTACCTAACCTGAAGCTACTTGATGCTCATTTGCATTATCACATAAAACTCTAATTAAAATCAAACAACAACAGAACATTCTGTTCTGCCAACACTATGAGGACATTCTTAAAGGGAATATTTTAGTTACTCTTGGTATGGACATTTAGTATAGCAGATACCCAAAAACTATATAGCAGCTAGGACAGCCAGAAATTTATTTGCAGCTTTACCACCTGGAAGACTATGAAAACTGTGGCGTCAGTCTAGGATGGGATGGTAGTCATATGACAAAAACAAAAACCCACAATATCCTGCACAGTGTAGTACTCAATAATCTCTTGTTGCTACTCTGTGCCTCCTTGGGTTAATTCTAATGCAACAGTTCCCAGCTTTGATTAACTCAGATGTTCTTAGAATGCTAATCCCAGAAACTCCAGGCAGTACAGCTGGTGGTGAAGGCTTCTGGGAGTTGCAGTCCAAAACTCCTGAGTAACCCAAGGTTAAGAACCAGTGTTCTAAAGCATGAAATCGAATAAAGAAAGCTTTCAGGTGCATATACCATAGAGCTATTTTTTAGCAACAGCAGGTGATTTTACTGAAAGAGAAGGAAGCCTCTCTTCCCTCTGGTGTCTACCATAACAAGAACATACCTAGTGCTAGTAACAAGTTCCTGTGACTTTCCAGTAAGATACAACATAAGAAACAGAAAAAAATCTCTACAGTGCTTCTATTTTGCTAATCTGAAGGCACTCTTATATGAAGGTACATCACGCTGCTCAGGATGAATATATAAGCCCTTCAAATACTATTGTCTTATTGACCCGAAGTGATATGTTCTGCATGTCTTAAGATAATACTATAAATGTCCTGCAGTCTGGCAGACAGCAGTACAACATGAGAAAAAGGCACAATTGAAAGCACAGAGTATCTCCGCAGCGTGCATAGCCCCTGTAAAAGTACAACGGGCCACATGTACAATTCTTGACAAGCTGCCAATGATGCTTCATTCCCTGAATGACATACCCAAAGATTATCTTTTTTATGTCTTCTGTCAAGTAATCAAATTTGGGTGATTGACTTTCTTCCTCTGGGTCTCTTGTGGAAACACTAAGCATTTCATTGTCCCTGTGTATTGCCGGCTCCTGCCACCCTGATGTATTATTATCAGAAAAGTTATAGCTTCCACATATAACAATTTGTTTTAATTTCTCAGCTACAGTAAAGTGTTTTGAACTTCATGTTATTTAAAACAAGAAACACAAAGGTTCATTGTTGTATAAAAAATAAAGAAAAATAAATTTAAAGGCAAAGGAATCAAAGGAGGACACCTGCACCCAATAGAACTTTGTGATTTTTATAAAAATATTTACTTTGGGGAGAATATAACAGTTTATATCAAGAACTGACAAACAACTAAGCACTGTGAATTATATTAGCTTCAGAATTATTCACTTCAATTTGGTGATGGTAGTGGGGGAGTATAACAGTCAAGGAGTAAACATATATACACAGTTGTAAAAAACAAAGGTTAAATTCATATTATTACTAAGATACATGCAAACTATGGAAAAAACAGAAAAGTAATGCCTTAATTTTTAAAACTCAAAACTAGCAAAAATGTGCAAACCTATTTGTGTAGTCATTTCAGAAACAAAGAAAAACATAATAATCCAACACTGACATACCTAATTGTTGAAATAGAAGGGCTACACTAGTCCCTGTGACAGGAAGACTATCATGCAAAGGGGTCTGTATCAGCTGCCGGTCTCCTGCTCCTAAGGAAAATAGTTTCTGTAGAAAAAGATTTTAATACATTATTATTGCTTCTGGAATATAAGGTAGGTTAATTTTTCCCTATTATCATTACATGCAAAAGACGGGGTTACTTACCTGTAACCATGGTTCTTCAAGTGGTCATTCTGTGAATTCACACAAAAAGGGTTAAGTCAGCGCCTGCGCTGGTCTCCTCGGAACGTTCTCAAGCTCTGTAGAAAAAGAAACATAGTTTAACACTGCCTATACTGCGCATGCTCCACCCGGCCAATCCTCAGTTCCATTTATCCGCCACAGATACCTAAGTATGAGCTATACGTATTCTGTGATGGAGAGTGGGGAGGACGGGTGGGATTGTGTGAATTCACAGAATGACCACTTGAAGAACCATGGTTACAGGTAGGTAACCCGTCTTTCTTCATTGTGGTCTTCTGTGAATGCACACAAAAAGGGTGACTAGCAAGCTAACTCACCGGAGGTGGGCCGTCACTGAAGGGCGGCTGCCAACACTGCTCTTCCAAATCTCGCCTCCTTCTTGGCTCTCAAGTCCAGCCTGTAGTGGGTGATAAAGGTAGACACCCGAGATGAAGTGGCAGTCCTGCAGATGTCTGGCAGGTCTATACCACATAGCAAGGCCGTAGAGGAGGCGACTGCCCTAGTAGAGTGGGCACGGAGGCTGTCAGGCGGATCTTTATGGCGGAGCTCATAAGCGAAGGATATCATGGAGACGAGCCACCTTGAGAGTGTCGATGAAGATGCCGGAAGAACTTTCTTCTGACCAAAATAATGTAACAAGAGTTTAGGAGACAAACTGAATTCCTTAGGAGACAAACTGAATTCCTTCCTCCAGCGAGTGCTCATCTAACATCCAGGGTGTGGAGCATGCGTTTCGTGTCGTTGGCAGGATCAGAAAACAAGGTAGGGAGAACAAGAGGCTGATTTAAATGAAAGTCAGAGACCACCTTGGGAAGAAAGGAGATATCAGTGTGCAACACCACCTTGTCGTGAAAAAACTGCAGAAAAGGTTGATCAGCTCAGAGAGTGGCAAGTTTGCTGGCTCTGCGGGCAGACGTTATAGCCACCAAGAATAAAATTTTGAGGGATAACATCTTCAGGTCATATGTGGCAAGAGGTTCAAAGGGTGGACACATCAAGGAGTGTAACACTAGGTGCAGTGACCATTGCGGTACTGGTGGTTTAACAGGGGGCTGTAAATGCGTAAGTCCTTTTTAAAAAGCTTTGACTGTGGGATAGCAAAAAAGACGAGAAGCAGGCGACCCTCGGGGCTGGAAGGAAACAACAGCAGCAATATAAACCTTTAGGGTAGACACAGATAGATTGAAGTCAAAAAGGTAATGTAGAAACTGTAACAAGGTAGATGAGGCATGAGGAAAGGCCTCTAGATTCAGTAAACTTAAGAAAACTTTTCCATTTGTAACTATATAATACAGAAGTGGACTCCTTCTTGGATTTCTTTGATTTCGTGCATATTTTCCACGCAGTGAGATGTAACAAATTCAGGTCCGGGTGGAAAACCTTGCCTGCATCTTGAGTGAGTAGTGCAGGAAAATGGGGAAGGGTCACCGAGTCCTTTGCCATTGATGTTAATGTCGGGAACCACGACTGGCAAGGCCAGAAGGGTGCCACCAGAATTGTTTCCGCAGCGTCTTGCTGAAGCTTCACCAACATCCTCTGCACTAACGGAAACGGGGGGAACAGGTAAAGGAGACCGATGTCCCATGGTATCATGAAGGCGTCCCTGCGGAGCCCTGTCCCCGACCCGCCCTGGAAGCATAAAGCGGGCATTTCTTGTTGCGACGAGTGGCAAAAAAATCCATGAGGGGAGTGCCCCAACGACGACACAGATCGTGGAACACTGTGGCATCCAACTCCCACTCATGCATTTGACCCATGCACCGACTCAGTTTGTCGGCCAGCTCGTTGTCTTCCGGCGAGACGTGAACTGCCACCGGGAAAATGTGGTGATGGTAGCACCATTCCCAAAGTGTCACTGCTAGGAACAGAAGAGACCGTGAACGGGTGCCCCCCTGTTTGTTTATATAGTACATGGTCGTGGTATTGTCTGTGACTATTTGAACTCCACGACCATGCACTGGGGGGAAAAAGCTTTGAGCGCTTTCATGATGGCTAGAATCTCCAGATGGTTGATATGAAGGTCCAGTTCCTGAGCTGACCATCGGGCATGTATACGATGTTGACCGCAATACAACTCTGGGGTGACCCGGAGTCGCTTCTCCTGATGGTCCCAGAGAGGATGGAAGAGGGATAAAAGCCACACCTGAAGAGACCTGAGCTTTAACCGGGCATGTGCAAATCCTGTTTGACATCTTCAGGTAACATCTTTAACCCTGGCAAAACCTTCAACCAAAGTTGTTTTTGATAGGCACCTAGAGCAGTCTGGTAATTAGCTACCCTCAGCATGAATGAAATCAGAGAGTAGATCCTCCTGCCAATCATCTCCAAATTTTTGCCTTCTTTATTGGTTGGAATGACATGGGATCTCCCTGTTGGTTTAGTGCAGCTCGTCTCAACTATCAGGGATTTGGGGATGGGATACTTCAGGAGAAACTTAGCATCACTGCCATTAATACGATACATGTTCTCAGTACATCTAGGAAGTGGTGCTGAGGCTGAAGGGTGATCCCAAAGTTCTTTAATGATTTCTAGTAAGGCAGGCAGAAAAGACAAACTAGGGGGAGGGGATCGCTCTTTGTTAATATCCCCGAAAATTAGATCCTCCTCTGGGGGAGGTGGCTCATCCACATGAAGCTTGAGTCTCTTCACGAGCCTGGACAACATCTGGGAATATGACAAAAAGTCCTCTGAGGGTGAGGAAGCATGAGGATCACCCGTGTCCGACTCCACAGTTTCCCCCATCGGCAACTCTTCTGTGTTGGGTTGCTCAAGCAATTCACCACCGGAATCAGAAGCTTGAGAGGAGAATGGGACCTCATCCTCAGATGAAGAATCATGGGTCCGCTTTCGACGTTGGGGTTGGGCGTCGGGCACAGACGAAGTGGTGTGCTGTGAAGGCATTAATGTAGTAGAAGCCGGAGGAATGACAGGAGGAATTTCTGGAGCTTTATTTGCAGACGGGACTGGCTGTGGAGCATTCACCGCCTCCACACGCCGCTGATGTCGATGCTTGCGCGGGGGCGTCGACGCCGAGGAAGAGGAGACATAAATATATTTGATCTGGTGACGACGTCGATGGCGGTCTGACGACGTGGAAGACGAGTATGTCGAAGTATGTCTTCTATACTGGTGACGATGCCTCTTGCATGTTGCTGCCGAGCTGTCGGAGTCGTTCAAGCGGGACCTGTGGCGACGTCAAGGTCAGCGGTGCCTCGATCTGCTGCTTCCACGAGGCAACCGACGTCAGTCATCAGGACTATGTTGTCTTTTCTCCGTGCAGTTTCTCAGCGGCAAAGTCAGCCTCAAGGGTGCTGGGGACACGGAGTGAGCCAGAGATGCCTGTCTGGTGGAAACTGGGCTTAAAGGGGCAGACCCCAAGCTTGCAGTAGCGAGCACAAGCTGGCTTGGTGTTGGTGAGGGGACGCCAGTGGGTAAAGCTGGCTCTGCTTGTCTAGGAGGGAGCGAAGGAGCTGCCTCCGACAAGGAGTCTCTATCCCGCGAAGAGTCTTCCAAAATCAGGGAGGGAAGCGACTCGGAGACAGGAGGTAGCTGCTGCACGGAGTCCTTCTTCTTTACTGATCTCTTGGTCTTCGTTTGCTTCTTAGGATTGGAAACCGAAGCTGCACTAGAGGAAGAAGCTTTCTTAGCTGCAGACTGATTTTTGTAGATTTTCCAGCTGGTTTCTCCAGAGACTTGGAAGGAGGTAACGGTTGGGAACTACCCTCACTACGGGGGGTGGCAGAGGGAGAGGGAAGCTCCATAGCCAATGGTTTAGAGGCTGACAGAGCGGAGTCCCACAGGTGTAGTTTCAACCTCTGCTGGCATGCTTTCAGTGCCTACAGTTTTGAGAGAAATGCACCTCCCCTGAGCAAATAAGACAAGCATCGTGCCTGTCGTGGTAGGGAAGATTCCTGGAGCAGACCATGCACCGGCCGAAAGGGCCTGATGGTGGTGGTGGGCATAGGCAGGAACCTCTAAACAGAACGCTGCCAGGGAAAAAGGGCAGGAAAATGGGCAGGACCGAAAAGGACACGGAGGGGCAAGGAAAAAAATCCAAAACACCAAAAGCCAAGTCCGAAAGGCAGAAAGGAGTTGTCAGAGTCCGTGCAAAGTCAAAATTCGATAAAACGACCAGGAAAAATAGTAATAACGTAGAGCTCCAGCCGAGAAGAACCACTTCACACGGCGGAGAAATGGAACTGACGATTGGGAGGGCGGAGCATGCGCAGTATAGGCAGTGTTAAACTATGTTTCTTTTCCCACAGAGCTCGAGAATGTTCCAAGGAGACCAGCGCAGGCGCTGACTTAACCCTTTTTGTGTGCCTTCACAGAAGACCACAATGAAGAACTATTTGTTTCAGTCACATGCTACTGTCAGACAATATTGAGTTTCACAAAATATGTCTGTTAGTTGGCAATGGCACCCATAAATTTACTCTGATAAAATGCCCCCCGTCCTCTTTGCATAACTATCAGTAACTGAGAAGCCCATTCCCATGATTTCTCAAGGCACCTTTGGACAGCTACCAATTATTAAGGTTGACCCAGCCTTAGAAAGACAGAAGGAAAGAGGACAGGGTTGTGTATTCTATCCAAGCAACCCAATGAGGACAGGCAGAAATGGCTTAAATTAGTGGTTCTTAACCTTTGTTACTCGGATGTTTTTGAATTGCAAATCCCAGAAACCCCAGCCAGCACAATTGGTGGTGAAGGCTTCTGGGAGTTGCAGTCCAAAACTCCTGAGTAACCCAAGGTTAAGAACCAGTGGCTTAAATGAATGTGAGCAACTGGAAGCACCTAAATCAGTGGTTCTTAACCTTTGTTACTTGGATGTTTTTGAACTGCAACTCCCAGAAACCCCAGCCAGCACAGTTGGTGGTGAAGGTTTCTGGGAGTTGCAGTCCAAAACTCCTGAATAACCCAAGGTTAAGACCCAGTGGGAATGGGAATGACTTTATATGGTGCCTCATATAGGACTGACTGGCTGAATGAGACAAGATAGCAGGATAAATGAAGACAAGAAGGGACAGCAAATAACACAGTGATTCATGCCTCTTTAAACAGGATGCAGTGGAAGCTGCCTGAGAACAATTAAAGCTGTCATTTATCAGATCAGATTAAATGTCCATCAATCCTTGTATGGTCTACTTTGGCTCTATGGTCTCAATCCCAGAATAGTCTTTCCTGTCACCTGCCAACTCTTCCTTTTTAGCTAGAGGCTCAAGAGACTTAACTTGGGACTTTCTCCTTACAAGCATTTTCTCTAAAAAGTAGGTGCCGATTAGAAACTGAAGTATTGAGATTGGTTGCATATTTAGGCATAGGACAACAAACACTAGCCATTTTGGCTAGGCAATTGTTACTATCAATTTCATTGAACATACATATTAATTCCTACCACAAGAACCCCTGGAACTAAAGCAACATGATGGCAGGGGGAGGAAATGCCTGCTTCCTTTTCAAATAGACATATTGTTCATTCTTCAGTTGTTGTTGTTTAGTTGTTAAGTTGTGTCCGACTCTTCGTGACTCCATGGACCAGAGCACGCCAGGCCCTCCTGTCTTCCACTGCCTCCCAGAGTTGGGTCAAATTCATCTTGGTAGCTTCGGTGACATTGTCCAACCATCTTGTCCTTTGTCGTCCCCTTCTCCTCTTGCCTTCACACTTTCCCAACATCAAGGTCTTTTCCAGGGAGTCTTCTCTTCTCATGAGATGGCCAAAGTATTGGAGCCTCAGCTTCAGGATCTGTCCTTCCAGTGAGCACTTAGGGTTGATTTCCTTCAAAATGAAAGGTTTGTTCTCTTTGCAGTCCAGAGGAATCTCAAGAGTCTCCTTCAGCACCACAATTCAAAAGCATCAATTCTTCGGTGGTCAGCCTTCTTTAGGTCCAGCTCTCACTTCCATATATTGCTACTGGAAAAACTATAGCTTTGACTTGCCAACCTTTGTTGGCAAGGTGATGTCTCTACTTTTTAAGATGTTGTCTAGGTTTGTCATCGTTTCCTCCCAAGAAGCAGGTGTTTTTTAATTTTGTCGCTGCTGTCACCATCTGCAGTGATCATGGAGCCAAAGAAAGTAACATCTGTCACTGCCTCCATATCTTCCCCTTGTATTTGCCGAGAGGTGATGGGACCAATGGCCATGATCTTAGTTCTTTTGATGTTGAGCTTGAGACCATTTTTGCACTCTCCTCTTTCACCCTCATTAAGAGGTTCTTTAATTCCTGCTCACGTTCTGCCATCAGAGTGGTATCATCTGCATATCTGAGGTTGCTGATATTTCTTCCGGCAATCTTAATTCCGGCTTGGGATTCATCCAGCCCTGCTTTTCGCATGACATATTCTGCATATAAGATAAATAAGCAGGGGGACAATATACAGCCTTGTTGTACTCCTTTCCCGATTTTGAACCAATCAGTTGTCCCACATCCAGTTCTAACTGTTGCTTCCTGTCCTACGTATAGATTTCTCAGGAACAAGGATAAGGTGGTCAGATACTCCCATTTCTTTAAGAACTTGCCATAGTTTGCTGTGGTCCACACAATAAAATGCTTTTGCGTAGTCAATGAAGCAGAAGTAGATGTTTTTCTGGAACTCTCTGGCATTCTCCATAATCCAGCGCATGTTAGCAATTTGGTCTCGAGTTCCTCTGCCCCTTTGAAATCCAGCTTGTACTTCTGCTGAAGCCTGCCTTGGAGGATTTTGAGCATAACCTTGCTACCGTGTGAAATTAGTGGCTTGCCACTTCCTGTTCCAGGTGGGTCACGTTTAGTCAGAACTCTCCACTATGACCTGTCCCTGCACGGCATAGCTCACAGCTTCTCTGAATTACTCAAGCCCCTTCGCCATGACAAGGCAGCAATCCATGAAGGGGTCATTCTTCAGTAACATCTACTAATTCTAAAATGCCACCACACCCAAATTTCCCTATAATACTCCCTCTATAAACATGTTCCTGTATACTGTCAGCAAGTAATGTTGGCTAACAAAAGGGAAGTGGAGGTCGGAGGCAAAATGGGTGGTGTCATCATATTCTATTTCTAAAATCTCCTACAGCATCTGTAGGTTTATATCAGGACATAACAATCCATATCAAAACAACTGTGCAGGTATTTTAAAATATGCTTCAAATTACTCACATGCAATAGAACACCAGTTTTTCAACACAAGCTTTATCGTTATCATTATATTTCATAGAAATACACATTAATATAGAAAAATATGAACCACTGACAGATTACATTATTTCAAAACATAAATACTCAATAAAATCAACTTCAAAGAAGACAAAATCTCTCCTTATAAATAGCAACTGTAACTGAAGAGGTGGAAAATTAAAGAAACATTTTGAAATACCAATAATAAAAAGGCTGAACTCTATAGAGTTTCTTGAATCAGTGCTATGGTTTTTAAAAGCAAATGCAATGACAACCCTTTGACCTTATCATACAATGGAATTCTTGCTCTCTTTAGAAGACAGGCCATTGGGACATACTCAACTGAACTATGGTCCTTTATTAAATCAAAATATTTGAAGAATTTATTTTTTGCTTTCTTCATAAATTAAATTAACTGGATAAATACCCCTTTTTTCTATTTACCTGTGACCCTCCAGCAGCGGGAACAAAGCATGAACAGAGATTTGCAATGAGACTCTCCAGCGAAACATTCAGATTGTCCACGTACACAGTGTAGACCAAGCCAAGGCAAGCCTAAAATATTAAAAAAGAACCTGTAAAATTGCAACATGGAGAGAGGCAAATACTATGTATTATTAGAAAATGTAATCTAAGGAATACAATCTTAGACTCTTTAAACATGCCACAGAAGAATTATTTTGCTAAACAAAATGAAACACTGCAGTCTTTTCAGTTTAAATTTTGCTAATATTTTCTGCATGCATATGTGTGTGTAAATGCTTATGTCTGTATACATTCATACAGAAATTTTGAAATATACAACTAAATAAAGTTGGAACTGTTTCAGTTAGAATCACTGGTAATCAGTCAGTATTTATTATTCACAATATTTATATCCTGTCTTGCTGCATGCATATGAGGCATTCAAAGAATCCCTGATTTTGTAATAACTCAGTCAACTGTTCTGTAGTTAGACTCCTATGATACACTGCTTAGAAGCAACATTCCTTCTAAGCTGCGTGGGTACACAGCCACACAGCACTGCATCAGTGCTGCACATCTGCAGGCAATGGTTCCAGTTGCACCTGGAACCCTATGTGGGGGGGACACCCAGCATTGGCAGAAAATTAGAGGGAACATGGCTTAGAGCAGAGGTCATCAACCCCCGGTCCGTGGCCCGGTGCCAGTCCATGGCCTGAGCTGGACTGGGCTGCAATGACAGACCTCCTGCCCACCACCTGCACGCACTCACCCCGCAAAGGCTGTTTGCGTCTGCGTGTGCACTCATGCGCATGTGCGAATGGCAGCGGCGCTGTTTGTGCATGCGCATGAACGCAGGGGGGGTGCCCACCTTCCCCAGCTGGTCCGCGGGGTGAAAAAGGTTGGGAAACCCTTGCTTAGAGTATTCAGTGAATAACTGCTTCTGGCTTCCAGGCCATTTTTCTGCAACATGCCAACTGGAATCCTAAATTATATGAAAGAAAATTAGTGACCAGTAAGAGGGAATATAACTTGTGTAGAGCAGGGGTCACCAACCCCTGGTCCGCGGACTGGTGCCAGTCTGTGGCCTTGGCCGGACTGGGCCACGGACACAGATCTTCCACCCCCCGCACAGCCCCTTTGCGCATGCACACGTGTGCTCCACTACCACTCCTGCCCCTTCGTGCATGTGAGTGCGTGAGCATGCCACACAAGCCACCCCACCCCTTCGTGCATGTGTGCGAGTATGGATGCGCCCATGCAAGTGAGTGCCACCCCTTCACGCCTATGCATGTGCGGTGCCACACACCCCCCACAGACCCCATCTCCCTCAAATGGTCCATGGTGTCAAAAAGGTTGGGGACCACTGGTGTAGAGAACTGGCTTCCAAAACTTAACGGCTTTAGAGCGGAAACAATTTTTTCCTTGAAGTACCCATGTTAGTCTGTACAAGCATATCATGCACAAAAAGAGCCCCCCAAAAACAGAGACAAAAATGTTATGGCATTTTAAAGACTAACTGCTATATTTTAATGTGATTTTTTGTGAATCAAATCCACTTCATCAGACATAAGAGGATTATATGGCTGTAGAATTTATACATCACCCACTGACCAAGTAGGGATACAAAAAATAGACAAAGTGATAAAATATAGCAGTTAGTCTTTAAGGTGTCTCGTGTCTTTTTATTTTCTTTGTTGTTGTTTGTTTTTTCTTTATTTTTGTTTGATAAAGTCTCCCCTCTTCACTTAGATTTTCTGATTTTTTCCTCATTGTGGTACAAGGGTGGGAGACATTGAATTCAGTGGTAGCTCATCAGAGCTGGCAAATGAAGACAAAGGGGAGGGGCTACTGCAAAAAGCCTCCAGTTCTAAAAAGGAGGAGCCTCTGCACAGTCCACACTATTCATTTGCTTTTTAAGTTTTTGATATATCTCATGCCTCGTAGTAGTAGTAGTAGTAGTAGTAGTAGTAGTAGTAGTAGTAGTAGTAGTAGTAAGTGCAGTTTCAGAACCATTGCACTAGAGAAGAAATGGACTAACTTAGTTTTATCATAACAATTGTTATGGAGTTTAACTTTTTACATGTACCTTAGTAACCAGGGCGAGAAACAGTTATACAGTGACCTGAGAGAAATGCATCTTGGAGCTACTGGCTCAGTTGTGACTCCCTGGCAGATCTTAAACATTTGTGCATGGCTCAGCTGTGATATTACATGATTTTGCAAACTTTGTTGCATTAATCTGTAGAGGAAATACCTGGTTTTAAAGCATATTAATTTTTCTTGAGCTGCCTAAATTCTCTTAGAGCATAGAGGATTTTAGCATCAAGAATATAGAATCATTACAAACCAAATACAACACAACACATACTGTCAATTCACTATAAAATGTTCTTTACCCTGAAAATTTCTGGGTAGTCTAATCTGGACACCAACACCAGGCTTTTGGGAGCAAACACTTCTGCAGGCTGAATCAAACCAGACTCCTCCTCTCCTTCAGTTTCTCTTGAGCCCTAAAAAACAGACAGTTTAGTCAACAGACAAAATATGACCACATTAACACCCAATAATTGTAGAAATAGGAAAAAGTATAACACAATTTTAAAAGAAAGTTTAAACTTTAGAACTCTAAACTACCATAGTACAATTTGTACCTCCAAGCTTACATGATACTGACTGATACAACTGTGTGATTGATATAGACCACAGCTGTTTTGTGGTATTTTCATTTAACATGGAGTTTCTACTGAGAGAGGTGAAAGAGGCTACCTAATATACTTGATTTTAGTGGCTCGCTTTAAAGAAGACTGTTCTATTTTAATTGATCAGAAACAGGCATTTTAAAAATGATAATACTGTATTTCCACGCCCTTCATTGAACACAAGTGAGAATCTTTCTTTGCTTTATTTCCCCCCCAACTGTGTATCAAAAATCTCCTGCTTAACATGGTGAGGAGGGTTGAGTGTGTCAAGGAAACTGAGAGTAATACTGTTGGAAGGCTTCATTCCAAGTCTAGATTCCTAGAAGGGTCACCCAAGGTCAAATGATCAAAGAGAAGTAGCAATCTAAGACTCGTCTATCCTCTTCAGGAATTAATGATTAGACGGGCAGAGAAGAACTGCTAGTCCCAGTGGTGATGGCAAAAGAGAAATTCTTGAACGGCAGCTACTGGGCAGCAGTGATAAACTAGACTGTGATAGACTGAGCTTTATTACTCACCAGCAGATGTATTCAAATATTAGTATAACATGAAAATACAATTAAAAATATACAACCTACTGCAATGTGACTAAATTTTATAGAATCTCCATAGTTTCACAGGACTGAGGAGATCAGCAAATCAATTCAGAAAACTCTGTACCGCCTCCAGTCTGATCATCCAGTCTCTGTACTGCCTCCAGTAGTGTAGCATATAAAGTATAAGGTGGCCAATACACACCATTACTAAACATCTTGCATTGCTTTAATCAGTGCAAGGAGGGAACAGCAACACTTCATTGATGAACTGGGCAGCAGCAGTAATGGAAGGTAACACTGGTGTGGGATATTTTGTAAATAACAGTGGCATACAAGCTAACTCTTTTTAGTAATAATACACAGATAGTGGCAATGATAAACCACTACTGAATATCCATATCTTGAAAACTCTTTGATGAGACAATGCAAAATGAAACTAGAGATAGTGCTGGAAGATTGCACTCCCGCTCAGAAGGTACTCAGTCAGCTACTGGGAAAAACAAAGGACAACAACTGATAACACTGCTGCTAATGAAGCAACTAGGGTGAAGTCCAAAGAATGTTTAATTGTCAATGTGCACAAAGGTAAAAGGAAAGCTGATGCTGCATGACACATATAACTAGAAAATTATAAGTGAGAAGTATGACATTTTGTATCTTCGGAATTTTTAAAACAACTGAAATATTGCAATACTCATAAACAGGACAGTTTTAATCAAAATGATTTTACCCTGAAAATAACAAACTCAGAAGAAATGGTGTAATTCAGTTAGTGAGTTCAGATGCAGCTGGAGTCCATAATGCAAATTGTGTCTGAATAAATATCAACCAGATTTCACAGAAAACCTATCAACATAACCATCATTCAAATCTATACCCCAACTATAGTTGCTGAAGAAGACAAAATTAAATACTGACATGCTTGTGTCCAGGGAGAAATAGATCATGCATCAAACAAGATGTGCTTACAATCACTGATGACTGGAATGAAAAAGCCGAAAATAAAGCCAAACTGAACATCAGAGGAGAATCTGTTTATTGAAAATAGGGAGATGACATTCACATTGGACTCAAATTCCCAGAATTCTTCACTAATTCTGCAGGCAAAATTCTGGAAAGTCCAAGCCATAGACCTACATCTACAGACACCTATAAATACCTATATTTTGCTCACCTGCTGCAGGGCCTTGTTCCAGACCTACTTCTCATTAATGTTCTAAAAACAATGCTACCATTATTTCCTGAGTTTCACAGTTTATGGGAGGTACTCTATACAGAGGCTAAAGGGCAGCATGACTAAAAAGTCCCAAATACAAAGAAAAAAACTACTCAGCAAAGCAAAGAAGATAGAAGTATTCTTGAACACTACTTGCATGGCAGAAAGGGCACTGAGTTAGTGTCTTTAAGGAGTGAAAGATCATGAATGAAACATGTGGATTTCAGTGGCTTCCCTATGTAGTCTAACATAATGATTGCTGATGTTATCCAGTACTTCTGTGTTTTGAAATACTGTAGGATTTTATGTCCAGCTTGTTTCAGGGTGTGTTTAGCTACTGGCGATTTTTCCGGCTGTTTTAGTCTGCAGTGTCTTTCATGCTCTCTGATTCTGGTCTGGATGCTACATTTTGTAGTCCCAATATATACTGGCCACAGCTATATAGGTTGACACAACTAAGGAAGTTATAAAGGTTGACACAACCAAGGAAGTCACAATTTTTAGTATGCAAGATCTGAACAGGACTGCTAACGATGAGGCTTCTTTGAAGTCATTCATTCATTGGGCTGCTTTAAGTTGGAAGCTCTCTGGTAGGACAAATTAATTGATTAGGGAACTAAACAGAAATTTTAAAACCATTTATGAGTGAATGCTGTACCAATGCTGCAAATAGGTTTGAAGACAGTCCTCTAATGGTATTATGCATTACCCAATCTTAGATCTTCTTCAGTATGATACTTCAATATGATTTAATTTTTACAAAAGCATTAAGAAGTGTCTGCACAAATTCTTTTGGAGATAGGACAGAACTACATGGGTGCTTGCATGTGTACACAACTACACTCCACTACACATGCAAGCACCCCTGCAATACAGTGTGTCTTTGTAAAGTAAAACAATAAATAACTGTAGGATTCCACATGGGAAGTTGTCCTATTCTCCTAGCCTTGCAGACACTCACAAACATATTGCTACAATGAGTAGCTGAATGTTATATGACTTCTGGTTTCATTGAGAAAGGGGAAAAAACGAATAAGGATTTGAAAGAACCAACAATGATTTAATATGAAATAAAACTTCAGCCATTCTCTCTGCTTGCTATCTGCCAAGTTATTTCTGAACACTGAAAACATTTTCAGAACTAAAATTAATTCTTGAAAACAATTCTCAAAAAGGTGGCTGTTTTAGTCTATTTTAGCATATATCAAAAACCAAAACCAAAATATTGCGGCACCTTTAAGAATAACAGGTTTATTTCAGTGTAAACTTTCATACATTATAATTCATGTACTCAGATATGGTTATATGTTTATATGCATAGGGCATATGGCTGGAATAGTCACAGGGATAGTGGACAGAGAAAAAAACAGCATCATTACTAACACAGATGCATTACTGATGTTAATAATTGATATCTGTATCCCATGAACTTTGATAAGATACCCTGGCACTGCTATTAGAGAAGGATGAAATTACACTAAGGATGTAATAGATATTCACAAATTTTCTCATCCTTGATGAGAAAGTGTGTTTCCACAAGATTTTCTTGTATTTACTCAAAATATGTCTTGTTTTGTTCAAAAAAACTCACTTTTTTCCAAATAAGAGCTAAAATGCAAACAAAACAAAACCTCTGGTAACTTTAAGGAGTAAACTTTTGAATTTTTTATTCATAAATGAAAAAAGTGAAGTTTTACATCTTTAGATTATGTTCTGTTCTATTTTTGTTCTTTTAGTAAAACACCAGTAGATGTCACTGAAGATTCTTCCTCTTCGTCCTTGAACTCTTCTGCCATATAGTGCTGCCCCATGACATATAGGAGTGAGATGGAATACTTTTTAAATTAGTTATTTTTTAAAAAATGTGAAATCCAAAAAGAACTATGTGATTTCAAGGCAAAACAAGTTCACCACACAGAATCCTACTATGGTCTTCCATGATCTGTGTAATTTCCCATCTTGTTTCAAAGAGCTACTGCAGATATGGGTATCAACATCATTTTATAAGATCTGTGTGATATAAAAGAATCAGCAATCCTTAACATTAATCTTAGTCAGACAGCTACTAGCAGAATTTAGACAGTATTAGCTTGAATAAGAGTTACATTACTGAAAATATAAATACATAAATTTGGCTTGTTAGCCATATAAAAGCTTTACTGATGGATGCTTGCAAACATCTCAGCTTGTTAGCCAAATAAATGCTTTCCTAATAGAAACTTCACAATGTGCTTGTTTGGCATTTTTAGCAAGAAAGTTCTCCACAATATCTAACAACTTTAAAGTAAAGCGTACTGCTTATATACCGCCCCATAGTGCTTCGAGCACTCTCTGGGCAGTTTACAAGTTAATTATGTAGGCTACACATTGCCCCCCCCCCCCGCAAGCTGGGTACTCATTTTACCAACCTCGGAAGGATAGAAGGCTGAGTCAACCTTGAGCCAGCTACCTGGGATTGAACCTCGGGTCGTGAGCACAGTTTTAGCTGTAGTAGAGCAGTTTAACCACTGCGCCATGAGGCTCTTAAAATGTTAGGTGTAAGATTTAGTAAATTCATCATGTAATACAGTGGAGTCTTGACTTGAGAACTTAATCCGTATTGGAAGGCGGTTCTCAAGTCAAAAAGTCTGTAAGTCAAGTCTCCATTGACCTACAGTGCATTGAAAACCAATTAATCCCGTAACAGGCCGTTTTTGTTCCATTTTGGTTTTTTTCTGGTCTGTAAGTCAAATCTCAGTCGGCAAGTCAAACCTAAATTTGGTGGCCAGAGAAGATTGTAACTCAAAAAGTCTGTAAGTCAAACCGTCTGTAAGTCAAGGGTCCACTGTACGTTATAAAACCGGGAGATATATTACAGGAGTATGTGTCTCTGCCAAGGAGGTGGCAGAGAATGATTTGTTTACTTATGTAACTATGGTTCTTAGAGTGGTGATCCATGTATCCACACATAGGGGTTATGAGCCTGAGCAGACTTTGCTTTAGAAAGTTCCAGAACCTCAAAAACAAAAGTGCCTCTCTTCCTATACTGCATGTGCACAGCTCCACTTTCCTCGGTCCCA